CCCTCCGCGCCCAGAGGAGTGGAGTGCCCCGCCGGGGCTGGCAGCGTCGTAAGCCACGACCCGCCTCCCTGGTTTCTCTCCCGGCAGCAACCGGAGGCCGTGAGGAAGACGGGGAAGAGAACAGAAGCAGCCCGGCTGGCAGGGACAGCCGTACCTACAAACAGAGGGAAACATAACCCTTCTGCAGAGGGAAAACTCTGCGTGTCGTGGGGAAACACACACATCATCTTCCTAGGCTATTGTAAAAATGTGCAAAACAGGAATATTTTGAGAAGCTCGTGAAGTTACTTGACAGCATTTAAGCGTCCTTCTCTCTTTCTTGAAGGGGCAGCTTGCTGAACCTCCGTCCCTGGCCTTAGCTGAGGCAATTCAAAGCATTTTAAAGGACAAGCCCCAGACAGAAAGAAATACAAACCAAGAGTGCCCTGGTCCCCAGCCTGGGTCTGGGTGAGAAAATAATGTTTATTCCCAGCAGGCAGGGAAAAGTATCTGTCAGATAATTGGTTTGCTCAACTGCTCCAGCGGAGCTGGGAGTCCGTTCCCTCACTGCCTGAGCAAGGGGCCAGGCCTGACCTAGGCCACATCAGCCAGTGTCAACTACTTGTGAAAACCGCTGGAGGTGGAAGCATTTGAAACATCCTTTTTATGGGACTGAGGAGTAATTAATTTTTTTTTTTAAAAAAAAGGTTGGAGCCAATGGCTGTAACATGTACTTACTTCAATCCTGTATTATTAAGAATAGCTTCCAAAGAATTACAGTCTGTAGCATAGATGGGCTCTTAGATGCTTTCTTAGTCATATTATCAAAGTCCCAGGTAAAGTATAGATGTACCAGATTTACAATTATACTAGTACAAGGCAGAAAATGTTCCCCTTATGAAAAGGGCTGACACACAGAATGTACTATTGAATGTATGATTACAGAAACATAGGAAAGAAAGATTAGAGCACTCCTTTAGATAGTACAGGACTGAGCATCTGCTTTGTATGTTAAAACAAAGAGGTATTACTTAAAAAATGCAAAGAAACAACCTAATGTAAGGACACATAAATACCTCTTACCCTCAGTAGCGTCTACATTCTGTCTAGTATAACGACTGGTTGAAATAGGGTAGCAGCTCTTAAAGAACAGCATTCAATCATCAACCAGCCAACTGGCTCTCCTTTGCCTCTACTGCAATTACAGCAGCTGTACAGTAATATTGAAGTTAATCTTTCACCTCCCAGAACAATTAGCATTTGCAACTTAAATTCTAAGTTTAATGGATTGAGCAAGCATCAATATTGAAATTGAGGAAAGGGAGACCGTTAAATAAACCCATGCCTGTTTCTTTCTATGGCTGTTTGTGTGTGCCCATAGTTAATTGTCCAGCTCCTATCTATTGACCATAACTGTTTCATGTTAGTAGGCTCTTCAGCAGAGAGGCTTAAGAATAGTTGCCCTAGCTGCAATGAGAGGATATTCATATTTGAACTGCTAAGGTAATCTTCTTTCTTGAAAAAGTAAAAAAATTCCATTAAACCTGTTGTTCTAGCCCTATTGGTAGGATTTTCCTTAAAAAGGCAGCAAACTGACAAAGCATGCACCAACAATATATGATTATTTCACAGCTGATTAACATCTTCCAGTTTTACAGAACTGCCACCATATTCCAAAAAAGTAAACATGCAACAGATACCTATTTATGTATTAGCGTGCTGGATGTCAAAGCTTATTAACATCCTGTAACCAAAGAAAGGGTGACTGCAGGATGTCGCTGATTTCAAAATACGGGTGCATTTCTAAAACAGAAATAAAGAGCTGAGCTTGTTTTGTGCATTACTCTTGTCCACTGGCTCCTTCTAGTGGCCTTCCCCGGGCACTACAATTACCTAAACCCTTCCTTCCTTCCTGCAAGTTCTCAAGAAATTTCATTTAGCCATGCGTCCAAAACGTCAGAAAAATGTGTCTGAGCAGCAGCAACAGCTTTCAGTAAGATATACACAGGAAGATAGATCTCAGGCTTCTAATTATATCCAGTGAAGTTTGTTTCTGACTTTTCTCTGGCATACCCAAAGCCTGAACTTTTCTGTACAATGTGGCGAGATCCTGTGGAGGATGAGTACAAGAAGTCTAATTAATGCAAGAAAATGGTGCTGGGAAAGTTAAGCACTGTTACTCCTGGCACTTGCTGGCAGTGTTTTGCATGGCCTCTCCTAGCTTGATACAATTCAGAATACCAAATTGAAAAAAAAAAAAAAACCCAACACATATAACATGACAGCTTCTGATCTCCTGCAACAACTTTAGGATTTTCTTCTATGTATTTTGCTCCGCAGAATCAACAAAAAAGCCTTATTGCCCACACTCCCTAAACCTGTTGTTCTATAAAGCTATGAAAGAATTTTATAGGTGCTCCTATACACTTGAACTCTATCCTCAAGTGGATCCAACATCAATCTATGTATTTTTTTTTTTTTTTTAAATTTGAGCTCTTCAGGCAATTATTCCAAGTAGACTCTGGCATGTTAAGGTAAGAGCAATATACTGCTATTTGTTGTTTCTAAGGTATATGCTGGCATAAACAACTGACACATACTTCAAAGGAAATGCTTTCTGAACTTGTTTCTGCCAACACACAGCTAGTGACAACTCTCTTCCTGTCTGGTAGCAGTGGTAGTAGTTTGGAAATGGTGAACTGAAGACTAAAACTAAATGTATGCAATGAATTGAAAATAGAGTTAATTGTTGGTAACTCGACGGTCTGTGACTGAGCGTGTCCAGAAGCACAGTGCTTCACTGTTCATCCTCAATATGCCTATTCATGTTTGATTTCCATCAAAAGCATTCAATTTAACTATCCATGCTCCCCTACCGACTGCATTCCAAACTAAGGTTTATTTGCTTCTCTTTGCTGCATGGTTTTATATATTGCATTGGTTTGTACTTCAAGAACTAAAAAATACTATAAAGATACAGTTTTAGTACACACATACCACTTAAGTAGCTGAGGATAGCTCTCTCACAAGCTAGTGATATGCGAGGACTCATTCTGTCATTACATTTAAAATACTAAGATCCAATTTAGCTGATCCTTTTACAGACTAATGCTATGCATAAAATGCAGTCCTGTAGGTAAATGGCATACATGAAAAATTTTTCAGCATCCTCCAACATTGAATACATCTACCACTAATCACAGAAGATACTTCCACATTATAAAACATAAAGTATGCTGTAAAATAGTTTATTAGCACAAGAGCACAGTTACCTATATAAGCTATTCACTGTCAGCTGTTTTAGCTGCCACCTTCTCAAAGAACTGGCTGACAGAGGGACAGTTGTTTTGATTACTACATTTAATTTTTATCTTATTTAAGCAAGAGAGCTAGGTGTCCCTTTACAGCCCAAGCACTCTGCAGTATATTAAAATAAATTCATATCATACCCTCTTTCCTTAAGATAAAGGGTGAAAGATCTTACCCTATTTACCAAGATGTATGTTGGGATTTCAAGGTTTATTTGGTCTACCTAGTTTCTGAAGCTGCTTAGTTGGCAGCCTGGTATGAAGATTATCTTCAGTATATAAGACAGCTTGGTATCTGCTTAACTGTATGGTTTTAGTCACTTCATTCTTTATGTACAGGGAAAAATTATAACATTCTGGAGAATAATGTTTTGTACAAAGCTAAAAATGCTCCAAGGAGAATACCTGAGCAGCAACAGCACATTTCAGATACTGAATTATTCTTACAGTATCTATGCCAAACATGAGTTACAACAGTCATTAGAAACAAATCAAACTAAGGAAATCTCACTACATGCCAATAAAGGACAGTTACAAGAGAACTGAAGAAATAGGTCATTCCCTTGTTTATAACCACTTAAAGTTTATTTTACAGTATATTTGTGACATTTTATGTTACTATAATCAAAGATCAGGGTTGTTTACAAATATAATGGCTGCCATTTGATGTAAACAATTAAAAAGTGTCTAAATATTAAAATTTTACATGATCTTGTTTTATTAAATTGAATTACTCTGTGCCATCAGGTATTAGTGGAGAGGAACTAATTTAAGCAAAAATAGTTTTCAGAAATTAGATGTAGAAACTGAGAAGCCTGAATAAGATTTCAAAAGACCACTCCTCCATCACTGCAAAAAGGAAGAATGCAACTTCAGTGAAAGAATTTGCTATGAAGAGTCAACCAAGTCCATTTTTATTAAGGCTTCTTTACATATTATTGAATCCCATCATGCCTTTCATATTCCCAGCAGCACCTTGTTGAAATTGTCTCATCATTGACTGCAATCCTGCCATGCCACCTGCAGAAAATAAGTGAGAACATGGCTGTGTTAATTAACTCTGAAGCACAGCTATCTTGCTTCTGAGGCCTCATTACAGCACACACACCATTTCAGTAACATGCAAAAGCTCAAGACTGTCAAGCCAGGTTTAAATGGCTAATGAATGGACAACTGAGTATTACAGAAAGGTCGCAAAAAACGCGAGGCTTAAAGTAGGTTTTAAGACAACCTGTGCATTAAGATCTAGACAAAACAACCTTGAAGGAATGACCATTATCAATTAGTGAAGTTCCAGTATAGGAGTCTTTACTACAGTTAAATTAACAAGAGCAGCTTTGAGGCAGAGCTTGGAAGGAAGTTTAGGAATAGATTTGCTTTACCACAGTCATGTTTCAAGTCATCACTTCACTATTTCATCAGACACCTCTCCAACTGCTCATTTTGAGAGCTGAATCCAAACGAAGAGACCAGATTAAGCACTGGTAAGTGCAAAGCATTCATAACATCTGGATTAAACTTCATGATTCTTGTTAGAAAACCTAGAAATACTTAATACTGATACATAATGCACACATTCTCACATCACCATCCTCACTTTATATTTCACATGCCCCACCGTAACTGGTAATCCTCTCTTGAAGCTGTAAAAAGCCAACACATACCCATATGATGAAGAACTCTTGGATCCATCATCTTTGCCATCTGTTGGTTCAGTTTGGCCAACTGAGATGGGTTTACATTCTTTGACATATCACCGCCTAAAAAAAAAGAAAGAAGCAATTAAGTGAATTAATATATAGGGGTAAAAATAAATCAGAATTTTACCTCCTAATTCTAGATCCAAATCCACGATCAAGAGTTGCACACTTTGAAGTGGCTGCTGTAATAAGAATCAACAGTCCCTGTGCCCCACATAACAGTACGTAAGTTAGTGTCAGTATTGTAGTAGTAATGAACTCCCCATTGATAAAACCAGAAATACAGTAGATTTCACTGGTAAGTTACACAGTGTCATGAAGAACAGTGCAGGTCTTACCAGGTACATAAAAGAGCTTTCAAACATCATGAAAATAAGTGAAATGCAACTCAATTTCTTTCCTCCCAACACCGCATCTACATTTTTACATTTCCTCTGTGTTCACACATCAAGTGACCTCCCTACTGAGTTAATAAACAGTTGGGTTTGGGGGTTTTTTTACCTTTGAAAAGCCCTTTGATGCCTCCCATCTTTTTCACCATCTGTGCAAACTTAGTGTATTGGGTCAAAAGCTCCTGAACATCTCTGGTAGAAACACCTGAACCTCTTGCTACTCTTTGGATTCTTCCTGGCTGCTTACTGAAAACTTTGGCACCATCTGTACTGTCAAGTTCTGCAAATACGTTGTGGAAAAGAAAGAAATCCATTCAGTTACAGACATTAAAATCTGTTACAGTTGGTAGCAAACTTGTTCTCATTACTGTTGATAATTTAATTTTGAGCCAGAAAACAAAAAAGTAGTTTTAGAAGTGGTAATGCAGAATTTTACATAAATAATTGAGACATAATATTCTAGAGAATAGTACTAAAAAGCTAGTATGTTCATATGCTAATCACCATGATAGAAAAAGTCACCTGAATAAAGTAAGCTCTCAGCATACTTGGTCTTAAGCCACATTAGTGGCTTTAGCACAAGGGTAAGAGCATACTTCTCCTGCAAAAGTTATGGGTGGATGAGAAACAACACACCATGAATTCCAGAGACCAGACTATGTCACCAAGTAAATTTGAAGGTGGGTAGGAAGACAGTCAGCAATGACAGATTAAAGATGAATGTAACTTTTTAATTTGCAAGTATGGTGTTAATAATTTAAGAAGCACAATTACAGTATGAAAAATAATACATTTATTTCCAATAGAATGCTTCAAAGTCCCACCTATTCTACACAAGATAAAGCAGCAACAGGCAATTGTCAAGATCTCTCTCTAAATATTTAGACTTATTCAGAAAGTTTGAGACACATGTACTCCTTCACATTTTTAAGGGTGATGAATGCTCCACATCATTTTCTGTCACTGTAGATGCTGCCTCACGTCCAGCTTATTTCCAAAAAGATCTGTTTTTGAACAAGCTTATTTACAGAAAAGAAATAGTGAAGTTTCTTTTACCTTGGTCATTCATACTGTCCATTATAGTCATCAGTTTCTTTAGCCTTGCCATTGATTCCTGTTCATTGCCTTTACTCATGAAGTCAGTTCCGAAACCAGGGATCATACCCTTGTTTTAAAAATTAAAAATAAAAGCTGTGTCAGAATAGGCAAAGCTAACTTTAAGCAGCCAGAAATATGGACAGCAAATTTTAGTTCAGGAGTTATACATCACAGTAGGCAAAGAATTTCACTTTTGATAAACATAAAGCACAGACTCTAGCACTAGTTTCAATGAAGAGTTCTAAGCTTATAGCAGAAGTTGTTAAATATAAATGAAGAACTGAAAATAAAATTATTTTTGGGATTACTAACCAAGATCTGACTGAATGGTCCCATTTTCATGATGTTTTGGAATTGTTCATACATATCTCTTAACGTAAATTGACCTGAAGTACAACCAAAAAAAAAGATTAGCAGAAGTCACACTAGCATTTTGGTCTTACTGTCCTTTCTCTATTATTCTTTGTATTTACAAGGTAAATACTACACTACATAGATAAACAGACCAGTAAACTTCTCCACTATTAACATGGCTAAACTATTTTAGATAACAAGCTTAAACGTGTGCTATTTTGCAATTATAGTCTGACAGACTTACCACTTGAAAAACATCATTTACTTGCCTGCAACATTTATTAGAGAAAGAATAACCATTCTTCACTGTGCACATTGTCTTGACACATAACACTAACTCAGTGGTCTACATCTCTGAGAATCTGGCATGATTAGGTCATGGTAATACACCCACTATTCAGGCTTTGGGAATGACTTACCATGTTTGAGCTTTTCTATGAGTGCTTCATTATCATCCAACTTTAACTCATTTACTTTATCTATCAATCCTTCAATATCACCCATACCTGGAAGAAAACCACAGCTCTAAAGTTGGCATTAAAAAATATTACACTTTGACTTTCTACCATCCAATTTAAAGTGTCTTAAGTATAGTTGTACATAGTACGTACCAAGAAGTTTGCTGATGAAAGGCTGCGTTTTAAAGGGTTCAAAGTCATCTATGTGTTCGCCAGTTCCAATAAAAATAATAGGACTCTTTGTGGCAGCAACTCTGCAGTAAAAGGTATTTTATTAAATGGCCTGTCAAAACCCACCCATCTTTTGTACCAACTATTAATGTAATCAGCTAGGCATCATCAACACAGTGCATCCTCTCTGAAGTACCTTTCTTAATGCTCAAACTATTAATGCAAAAACATCCAGCATTTAGGATGGGTAGCTGGGAGTAGCTGACAAGATGATTCCCTAATTAGTACTTTGTAAAATACAAACTCAGCTTTGAAAAATCAACAGAAATAGAAGTTGCTTATTTTTATTGCTAAGTTTAAAACTTGAGAGGAAAGAAAGAAAGAAAAATAAATCATGTCCATTCTATCCTAATGTTAGGAGCTCAGATGAGACAGGTATTGATTACTTTTTCTTCAAGGTACCTCTTACTTTTTCTTCAAGGTACCTCCTACAGCAATCTCATTTTCAACACAGGAAAAAACCTTAGACAAAAAAATCAGACCCTTTCAGCAATCAATCATTGGCACTAGCTTTTAGATGAACTCAGCTTCCAGTCTACAGAAATTATAGAACACACACAGCAGACTTAATGCATACAAGCGCGTGACAACTGGAACAAGCTTTCAGTATTTTTGTTTCGCTCTTTAGTTTTCTGTCACTGCGCTATATATAACAGCAAAATACATATGGCAGCTTAAGAACTCTAACACTTAAGATCAAAAGCCAGACAGTGATTTTAGTAAGTTGGCATCAGTTAATTTTGACTGTTTTGACAAATCATTTCAGCTCCATACAAGCTATATCATTGAGATGCTGCTGGAGATTAGTCTGACATGCCATCATGTAAGGCTGGAGATAAAATGTAACATTTTCTAGTCAATAATGTCTGTCAAGATAGAGGACATGAGAAGTCCAACAAGAATGAATTTGGGAAACTATGACTGCAGACTAATTTTTTACCAAATTGCTGGACACTGGCAATCCAGAAGTTTGATTCGCACCACAGTTTTAAGGCCATTAGATATGACTAGCTAGAGTTTTTCCCACTTTGGGAAAAAAAATTTTGGGCATTAAATAAGTAAAACTCTTCAGGTAAGCCATATCCATTAAGTCCAAACCTATATTTTTGGTAAAAACTCCTGATATGCAAGACGCAATAAATAGAATTACTTGATGCTGTTTTCAGAAGACAGACATCTAACACATGACAATACACACTACTGTATTGGAGGTATGTCATAATACCCAATTCTGACTGACACTAAATATCAGTGGGTGATCCTATCCACCAGAAGTAGGGTTAGAACATAACTATTACTGATCTAAATCTCAGATTCTGTGCAGTGTGCCAGGGACACTTTCACAGGACAGGCTGCCGTGACACACTAATACATTTTGTGGTTGTCCATCCATGGCCAGACATTGGACACTATTATATCACAATACTTACGCACTAAGAGCTCCACCTCCTTTCGCATGTCCATCAAGCTTAGTAACAATAACAGAAGCTACATCTACTTTATCTTTGAAAGCTTTAGCTTGAGCTTCACAAGCTTGGCCAATGGAAGCATCCATCACATAAACAATGTTATCTGGTTGCTAGAAGAGAGATACACAAAATAATCATTTCCTGTTTTCTTAACCAGTGTTCATGTATTATATTCAGTAGCAGAACTTAATGCAATAACTGTGTAATGGCTGTGCAGTTTAAAACAAAAGGGCAACTGTTTTATGAACAGTATTGTCTAAGGACCATTTGAAAACTCTGATGCTGTATTACTATGTGAAAGTCTTATCTACAACAGAGAATGTTAAAGTTTTAATAGGTTTACAGCTATTACTTATGTTTTGAGTGATATTAGCCACTATCTGAGTCAATAAGCTTATTAGTATCTACAAGCAATTAATGGCTAACATCATCTTCAATTCAGTTTTACATTAAGAGCTTCAAGACATCCATTCCTCTGAAAACAATTTAGCCATTAGCAGGAGTTGTGTGGGAAGTGCTGTATTGTCATGCAAGACCATAGAATCAAATGAATAGCCAGACTTAAACCCATACAAGAAACACCAGCTTCATTTACATATCAAAACTGTTGAAAGTTATCCAATCACCTTCTCCAATTGCACTTTTCAGGGCAATTATTCATGACCATCACAGAAAGTTTAGTACACATAGCTCAATTAGTACAATTAGTAAAATTTAGTACACATACACCAGATCAGACTGGTTCTTTTATCCAGTTTCTCCACGCAAAGATCCTGAAAAGGAAAAGTTAAAGCAGGAATGGTAGTCTAGTTATGTGTAAGCATCCTTGAATTACAGCTACAAGAATTGAAGCTGACACAGAAATATCAAGCACCGATCATCCAGCTCTTGTTTATTGATATGTGTTTGTCATTGTCAATATATTCCAGCAGTTAAAGTGCTGACACATTCCAGAGGAGCAAAATCCATACAGAACATTAGTAAGTAAACATCAATTAATTGTGTTCAAAGTACTATAAAAGAAGTTACTGTATTTTTTGAAACTACTCACTATGGCATTAGCAACTTGTAACATCTCTTCAAACAAAGAGTCTTCCTGTTTGTGACGTCCACTTGTATCAACAATGATTATTTCAAAGTTTTCATTCTTAAATTTCTCAACACCTTCTGAGGCAATAATTACAGGATCCATTTCTGTATAGCTGATCACAAAGAGAAACATCAACATATAATTCTTTTTCCCCCCAAATAAACTAATTCAAACTCCTTACTTGACTGTAAACTTGCTAACTGTAAATCTACCTGGATTTCAAGAGGGACTTGCTCTTACATCAAGCAAAAATTGATTGAAAATATGCTTTCCTAAGCCATTTGCCCTTAATATTCAGTGAACTGAAGCACAAAGGACTGTCTCGCCTGCTGAAGTTCTACACCTACACTAAATTCTACCAGCCCTTCTCTGAAAGAAGATTTAACTGAGCACCTAGACAGTACCTCCAGTGAAGCTTAGGGGAAGTTATTTACTGCTTTATAAAAGGTATTTTAGGCCTGCCATTACTTGACAGTAAAAATTAAGGGTCCAAAAATCATATTCTTTGATCTGTAAAGATACTTTGTGAAAACCTGAATGTGCCTGGTAAAGGCCTATAAACTGCTATAAGCTGAGAGAACATTCTAGGGAATTATCCCTGGATGCCTGATCTCTTCTTACACTATGCCTACCTGCTGCTACTGGCAGACAGTATACTGAACTAGGCAGAATTTTCATCTGATCAGAGCAAATACTTTAATAAAATCTAAGCAATTAGGGAGCACTCAATGAGGCTCAGTGCAAGATATTCATTAAAGAACAATAAATTGTTGGAGTTGAATCGCTCTCCAAACTGGATCTTAAAGATGCTTACCTCCCATAAAAGGGAATTCTTGCTTTTGTGGCATTCTGCTTTAACTGGTCAAAAGCACCTGTAAGACAGGTATAGTCAAGGGGCTAGTTAAAAACATCTGTAAGTATCAGAGATAAGAATACAGTCTTTAATGATGTGGTTACCTGCTCTGTATGTGTCTGCACATATCAAACAGGTCTTCCAACCTTTCCTCTGATAGAAGTATGCTAGCTGTGAAGAGAAAGCCAAAACAAGTAGTTACACCAAAACCCCACTAGAAAGCATGACACTAACAGCTAACAAGTCACTGAAGTACATGCAGAGGACACAAAGTCAAGACAGCCTTTCTATAACTGAGACCACTCAGAAACACTGTACAAGTAGCAATGTTAGCATCTCTGTTACTTAGAAAAGCATACAAGTAATTATTAATGGTAAGATGAAAACAGCTGCTTGACTCTGCTTATGATTTCAGTTTCCTGAGCTAGGAGTGACTACAAATAATTCCAGTTCCCATTTTACTAACTCCTGGATTCTGCTCACTGTTAATACTGCAGCTAGGACTAGCTTATAGAAACTACCAAAAGCAGTAAAGTACGTCAGTATTTACTACTGGAATGGCTACAACTTGTACAGCTCTGTTTCTGAATTTCCATAAGAACAAAGATATTTCCACTGCAAGTAAATGTTTTAAAGCGATGGACGGAATCCTTACTTTCTTGTAACTCAGCTTTACTGCTACAATGTACATTCACAGAACATTTGATTGACCAAAGACAAACTTTCAAAATGCAGCTTGCCTACAGAAGCACTAGGAAAGTCTTATGAAATCAGAGCAGTGATATATTTGGTATAGCCTATGTGTGAATCTCAGAAACAGATGACTAAAAAAGCAACAAAGAGGCATCAGTCTTTCCATGGGATTTTTTTTCTCCCAACCACCATCATAAATAGGTAATGTTAATTCAGAGCATTTTTTTTTAGCCTTAAAAATACAAATCCAAGTTTCCTCAATGAATTTGGGGCTGGAAGAGGTTTCACACCACTGACTCAGCTGAGATACCAAAACACAGACACCAACTTCCACTGGTTGCCCCAAACAGGTAATGAAATGAGATAAGTTCCATTCACAGTACTAGTCTTACACCCAGAAACCAAGGACTAGAAAGAATCTGTTATCCATATACAGTATTGTTTCATCAAAAGTTTAGCTTAAAAAAAATCTTGAAGTCCTATAAACCATAAATTGCCCCAGAAGACTATTACTTTGGACATTCATCTCATCTCTGAAACCCCTCTGCAAGAATATCTCTAGGTTGTAATCAGTTAGTACTTTCCTACTAATAGAAACAGCACCAGATCACAAGCAAATCCTACAAAAGGAGTCCAATGACCACCACCACTCCCTGCCAAGAAAAACTCAAACCACAGATTCAGTGCAAGTTACCTTTGAACAGGTCGTTGTTTTACCACTTCCTTGCAAACCAACAAACATTATAATATTCTGTTTTCCTTTGGTAGGTGTCCATGCTTTGACTCCAGGATCTACAAGCTAAAGAACAAAGTATAATATATCTTGCAGAACTGAATTTCAAAAGCACAGAACAGTCACTGTCACAGTCATGTTAGGTGCCTGGTTTTGTATTCAATGGAGCAAACCAGTTTTTGCATATTCTGGTCTTAATTTGGCTTAGATGCTCGTTGATTTACAGTTAGCAGCAACAGCATGGGCAAAATATCTACAGTATATAGTGTTACATGTAATAATTCTGTGACAGTGTTAATTTCTTTCTAATGCCAAGCACCAAAGCCAGGGTGGCCTGTATATATGGCAGAAGTATAACAACCAACAGAGAAACATGACCTCCACTCCATCATCACTGCTAAAGATGGACCTCTTCTGGTGAGAATCCTACAATACAGAAGACTTTTTAGGGTTGCTACCTCGCTTCTCCAACGAGTAGAAGGTACAAACATTCCAGAGAGCCATCATGTGGGTGGGCACAGACTACAGAAGAACAGAAGACTAATACTGTTAACTGGAAAGAGGGCATAGTACTGATACCCAGGTGCTGATTTGACCAAGCAGGCAGATTAAACAGAAGTGTTGCCATGAACTGCTGGGTTGTTACTTAACACTTTTTCAAAGGCTTATAATTAGTTTGAACCCATCTTCATTAAGGTAGGAAACAAAGACAGTTGGGACAACCAAAGACAGTTCAGAAGCTAACAGTACTTTACCCTTATTTTGTCTTTAAATTTCAGTTGAAGAGTAAGAATAGCTGAACTTGACGCTTAAATTGAAGTTAGTCAGAGATGCCCAGAAAGTAGCTTCCATCAGAAGAATACCAGTGTTTGCAGTAGTAAGTAGCCTTACAACAGAAAGCATAACTGTAGGTACCACACAATAACCTTAAAGCTTAGCTTGCTACTGTACTGCTTCCACAGCCCAGTCTGTACAAGAGAAGCAACATAATACAGAATTTTGAAGTCCTACCTTAACAAGCTCCTTAAAGACAGCATGCTGAATCATTTTTCTTTTGTTAAGGCCAGATGCCATTTCTTCAAGATCAATTGCAGACCTGAGTTTAAGAAAACCATGAAACACTAGCATAACTTAAACTTAGTAATAAATGAAGTCTTTGCAACCAGAACAGCACTTTTGATTTGCCTTGAGTTTTCAGATAGGACATGTTTAAGAGGCAACATGCACTGGAAACATTACTTCTGTATACAAGACAAAAACAGGTTTCTAGAATACTTGCATCTTTCAGACTTGAATCTACTTGAATTACACATCTGAAAATAGCCAAGGTAACAGTACTGGTCATACACACAAATCTATTTATACCCAGCACAGAACACATGAAGATGAGGTGTCTAGGAATTAACAAAGAACTTGTTTATTATACCACTCAACTGATTACAGCAGCAGTTTCTTTGAAAAAAAGACTATAACAGCAATAACTGGATAAACTTGAAGATTCTTTTGATGGAACTGGCAAGACATTTAATTCGAACTGTTCTTTTCCTATTAAAGGTAAACTGGGTGTGTCTAAGAAAATAATATAAAGTTAGAAGTTAATTATTCTTCTGTAACCTCAAATTACAACTTTTACAAACATTAGAAGTTAAATGCATTTTAATTCTTTCACTTACTTGACATTTTCTCTGAGTTGCTTCACAAGTTTAATATTGACATCAGCTTCCAGTAATGCTGTACATACTTCTTTTAACATAGCATTTAAAACCTTTGGAGTATAAAAAAATGGTTTTATAATACACAGTATTGACTAGGCCAGTATTAGTGCAAAATATGAATATGAGAGTGTATTTATGATATAATCACGGCTTTTACAAATTAAATGCATGCAATCTGCCACAAAAGTGTCTATGCATTTGTTCCTACATAAATGCAATTTAATTTGAAAGTGTAATACTGGAAAAAGAAGAGTCCTCAATTTGTAATATGCACACTGTAACGACGTAACACAGAACAGTTCCTATCACATTAAGGACAGAGGCTCATATGGTAGCAAGACTTCCTGAACTTCCCTAGGGGTACTGCTTAGAGACAGCTGTAACAAAGCCACAAACGAATCTCTTAACACAACACAATCTCTGTAAATAAAAGTATTCCTTGAATGCAAGATGGACACACTGCTATCTGCATTCTCAGCAGAAACTGGGCTGCTGCTCTGGGGTATGCCTTAGGCAAACAGGTGCCTCAGGAACAGAATTTAGTAGCTCTAGGACTTTTGAAAGAAAAGATTTTTTGAAAGTAACATCTGCATAAATGGCCTCATTTGCACAGCTTGAGCTCTTGCAGGAGAAAAGTTTCTACCACAGAAAAAAATAATTGGGCTACATTTGATTCAGTTAATGATTTGTTGTCACCCAGCTGAAGATTGGTTAAAACCTTTCCTCTATGCACAAGTTCCAACCCTACAACCCTTGATAAGCCTACTTTTTAGTTACTTTAAGCCACCTGTCTGCCTATCTGAAGGGAGTTTCTAGCAATTTATTTACTCAGAGGCACTTCTAAACCACCACATCAGTTAGTTTTCCATCTTGCTTTTCAGTCTATAAACAGAAAACACTTACTTATAAATTCAAATTCTTAACTAAAAAAATACAGATTATACCAAGTCAAACAGCTACTAGAACGACACACTGTATTGGCTTGAACATAAAGGCAGCAAACAGAATCCTCACATTTCAGACAGCAAAGTTTACATTGAAGGCTCTCTGTTCTTCCAGACTTCAGCTTCCAGCAGCCTCATAGTACACATCTCCATAATCTAGCTATGCACGCACACACACATAAACTGTGAGGCTATGTAGAGTGCTACGATTTATCTCCCACCCAAACTTAGGCACATATCACTTTCTCAAAACACTATCTCTAAGTGCAGCCACCAGGCTCAAGGACCCTTTGACCACGGGACCTGCTACACCTGAGGTGATTATACATGTCTAAATCTGGTTCTAAGTTTTGGCAATACTATCAGGGGGCTAAATCTCTAGCTAGAAGTTTTACTTGAAGGAAGAAGAGTCTCACAGTAACATCGATGTAGTTCAAGCTTCTCAGCCTTTTAGAACTTCGCTTTCTAAATGTTAGTGCCATCACATATGCATACTACATACCTCTTCATTGATAATTGTAGCATTGCTCAGTGAGCGTAACGCTGAAGTTATTTTTCTTCCAAGATCTGCTAGAACCATTTTGGCGGCTTCAAGTACAACTCAAAAGAATCTGGAAAACAATTAAAAGTTAAATTTAAAACTAGTTGAAGCTATGCATTTGCAAATTATTTATTCCAGTATCTTCTGGGTTAAGAAACCTGCTTTGCATTCCAGAAAGCACACAAGTTTTACTTTTTTCAAGTTATTTTTAGCAAATATTGCCCTGAAGTTAATTTTAGGCTATCCTGATGGCCTACTTAAAAATAGAGATACCACACTGCAATTAGAAAGCATTTCACTGTCTGGAATATTTGTGCATTGAATTCACCATGAAAAAACAGTCCAGATAGTATTCTTTCTGGAAGCCTAACTGCTTTTATCTTCTTATCAGCAATATACTGCATGACAGAATAAAATCAAGCCGAATAGCCTAAAAGCCCTGCATCCTGCAAAGACAGTATGATCAGAAGCAAAATCGAACATTATTGATTGGTTCTATTTTATCTACCTTACACTAAATACAACTAATTTTTCATTTCAGTAACCCTACAAACATACTTGCATTTTAATAAAAAATACAACGTGAATTTTGTTTAACAACTTTATTGAAAAAACAGACTGTTTTTGCTGTAAAGCATACCACAACTTATAGTTAGGAAGCCATAACAAGTTAATTTCTGAAGGACATGCATAGTCAACATGCTAAACCATTCCACCTCCTATATAAGGTGTCAAGATGTTCAGTAGAACACATGGCAGAAACAGCAATCTAAAATTCTGAAAAGGGTAAACCAAAATTTGTCTGAAGAGCAAGAAAACTTGCAACACCATAGTTACTGCTGAAATGGAACACTTCAGACTCTTCTTGTTTATCTTCCAATTTCACAGTTGTTTTCTCATACCCAACTGAAACTACTCCCTTGCTGATAGCTGAATTCAGAGTCTCACATTTGAATTCCTCCTTTCAGAATTGAAAACAAACTTCCCAATAATGAGAGCTTCTGTAATGAAAGTAGCTGAGAGTTTTCAATATTTTTGGGACTGCCCCCCCCCCCAAAAGGGTAGAGAAGAAAACAAACAGGAAAGGCAGGTCCATTTAGTAAAATGAAGAATACATCAATAGTTACATTCTTATTTTATTTAATAGAGAGGGCTCCAACTTTGGTAAGATAGCAGGAAGCTCATTATATACACACACTGAGATTTACCAGCTGCAGAGGCTCCAAAAAGTCATGCTTACAATGTGTTTATAAATAAGTATAAAGATATATTCCAAAGTAGATAAGAGAAGTCACACACATAAGCCAACCTCCCAACTGCTTTGCCTAATTGAGAGTTAATATTGTCACAAAGTTGGCAGGTTAAAAAAAACTCAAACACACCAAAAACCAACTGCCAGTCCAACCCCTCCGATACTGAGGCCACAACAGAACAAAGTCTCCAGAACCTTCAGAAGGTGAGGGATAAATAAATTCAGTCTAAGTACAGGCCTCAGATGTAGCAAATGATGGAAATAAATATATTTACACATTTTATGTACATTGCATGTACAGGCAATTTACCACACCATCTTGATATTTCATTAAAAAAAAAGAGTCTACGCTTCCTGCCTGTAAAATATTTGCAGATCAGTACACTAACAGGTTTGGATGTCCATCATCTCACTTTGCTGGAAGAGGACTTCTACATGACATCTGAAGCATGAAAACTCCAAGTTTTCCTTACAAGACATACAAGTCACATTCTTACAGAATAAGTCTGAAAAAGCATCATCATCACTATGATCTACCAAAGTGCGTCAGCAAAACAGATGTTGAAGTTTTTTTCAAACTCATTTCCCATGAAAATCACAAAAATGCAAGAAAATTAAAAAGAGCATTGCATCTCAGTAAGCTTTGAGCTGCTAACAACTGCAGCCATGGACAAAACTTAACAAAAACACTTACATCTAAGAGCTGAGAAATTTGATAGGATGACCAACATACAGCAGCCAGGTGAACACTCAGTATTTAGTTTCCAGAATTCTAAGGATCTCCAAATACAGAAAGTTAATTATGTCCTAATAAATGAATGCTTCCACTGCAGAACTCTAAAAGCTTCTTCCAACAGCCTTACAATAAGAATAATGCAAATACTATGCTAAGGGGATGAGTGTAAGCATTTTAGTATCAACTGCTTTCTCTAGCATATTAAGGATTTATAAGCCATCAGAATTACTAAGGTATGCCAAGTACAGAAATTAATATAACTTTTCATATACAGTCCATCCAAGTTGTGAGCCACACTACAGACAAAAAGACATATAAGCTGTCTTAGGAGATAGCCAGCTTGGGTTGGCAGGTAGCCAGAAGGCATTAACAGTGACTTCACTGCAAAACACATATATGCTCTATTCAGAGCATCTGTAGTTCTGGAAGAGCTTTTTAGCTTTGATGCAGCACTCCACAAACACACTGAACAGGTTTAAATCTGGCAAGGCCCCACAGTAAACAAGCCAGGCTGTATCAAATGGGCCTCGTGCTGAGCAAGGCCATGAGCTCTGCGCAGTCTGGGCACCTCCGCATTGAGCTCCCAGGTCATCGTTCTGCTGCGCAGCATCCCAAGATCTCTTTGCTTGCTGGTGAAAAGCAGGCATTTGGGGAATAAAGAGCAGCAAAAACAGTGGGTTTTTTTTTTTTTAAGCCATAGCAAACCAGCAGCCAATCAACCCTGAAGATACAAGCTGCCTATCCATCTAGTATAATCCTCTAACCAAAATCTTCCTAAGTAAACTACCAGTACTCTTTAATGCACAGAATTTAAGACGTAACACCTTTAACAGCTGTTTAAAAGATAACAAGCAAAAGGCATACTCAGTTAAAGCCTGCAAAATAAAGCTATACTAAACATATACATGCACAGCTTAAGATTTGCTTAAAGTCTAATACTATAATCTAAAAAAACCCAAAGGCTGATTCACAGATGGAAATAGTTTAAGCTACTGCAGCGATATTCAAGCCCCAACTTACTAGTCTCCATCTTCTAAAACTCCCTGCCAGACGGACAGCAAGGCACTCCCGGAGCCGCAGCACGGACTGACTGTCCTGCTTATGGTCTGAAGCCCTCATTTTCGCAGAAAAGGAAAAAAATACCGTGAAGGCACAGCCTTAGTTACGTGCCCGACTCTTGCCTTTCCCCCTGTGCGTTCAGAGCTGCCAACGGGCGAAGCACCGGGCTGAGCTCGCCCAGGAGCCCCGCTCCCTCGGAGCCCGGGCAGCGGAGCCAAGCAGTGCTT